GCCCCCCCCCCCCGCCCCGTACGCCTGTGTACATCATATTATACAGAAATTATACCTACAGTACTGTGTCCTACTAACTGTATAATGTATCAGTCAATTGCAGCAGTGCCCATCCCCCCACCCCCAGGCCTTGGCAGCTTTTCCTATAATCCCGGGGGGTGGGGCTATTGCCAAAATATTTCAGCCCAAGGGTGGGGATTTCGATGTTTTCCATCAAGGGGGATTTGGCAGATTTCGAATTCACTAGAAAAGATATTGAATTTTTTTGCAAATGGCTTGATACTCATTCTTTGGGAAAACTCGGAATTAATATATTCGGGAAATAATATCTTGTGGTTTGAAATCACTTGACAACAGACATTTTGTTGAGTAAACCTGGTTTTCATATGTCGCCAATGGTTGGCAATGCTGTAAAGTACCATTGTCTTTGATCATTTATGAGTAAAATCCTTTGTCTACATGAAATAGTTTTCTCCTTCAATGGACAATGATCACTAACAATGATCTATGAGTGCATCGCCGACTATCAGCTACATACGAAACCTGCCTTAAGTAAAGACAATACTTTCAAAGGTTGACATTATTATCATAGGTCTAGCTAGATGCACTGAAGTTAGGGTTGAGAATTTATACTGTTGCATTAATATAAATGCATTTTTATTCTTGTTGTAGATTTATATTGTCCATAGAATTATAACATGCAAATCAATGTGTACTACTGTAAACAGTCAAATGAGTCACTATTATTGCCTTGGGGGCAGGGGGGGGGAAGATATAGACCCAATTTTTTTTGCCCGGGGTGGGGCTTTAGCACAGTTCTTCTTTCCCTGGGGTGGGAACATAGCCATTGTCTTCCCAGAAATGGCTAATACCCCGGGGGGATGGGCACTGCTGGAATTGACTGATACATAATTGTATTTAACAACTGTATCGCTTGTGGATAATGGGTGCCTGGGTCATCCAGGGGCTTCCACTTCCAAAGCCAGCCCCCAGACAAACATACCACTCTCATGGCTTGCAGTTCCCTGCAACCCAGCCATGAGCCCCCACACCAGGCCCAAGCACCTGTCACACTGACTGGGTCAGTGGGAAAAAAATAAATAAGTAAAAAAAAATAATAACAAATAAAAACAAAAAAAAACGAACTTTCCGATAATAAGCACCCAAGCCTAGAAGGATTTCCGAACAATGCGTGTGCCTGTTGTTTGCGCATGCTGAAACCCTAACAGCTGCTGACCTACTATCGCCATGCGCATGCTGGTATGCCAGAAATCACTGACCATACTAACTAACACACTACTGTAACTGCGCTCTTTGTTGTTAACTTAGTTAAATTGCATTTAACTGCATGTATACATTCAAAGGTATAAATTACCAATTTGCTGCCTGCAGTTGAGTTTTAGAGAACACATAAAACCATTGTCTGTGTCTACTGTCTAGCTAACACAAGCTTGCATGAATATCAAGTAAAATCTACTTACTGAACCTACAGGACATGTGTGGCTGCCAGCCAGCAAATGTTGTCCAAACCACATACAGTATCATAGCTACCGAAAGATTGTTTTGGAGAAAAACTGTAGGACCTTGCAAAAACCCTCCAAACACAAGAGAGATCAACTACAATTCTACTGTATCTCCACATGTCAATGCTTGCATATGGTACATCTCCACATGTGACATGTCAATGCCCCACATGGTACATGTGTAATTTGTAAACTTGACATTGGGTTTCCTGGTTACTCCTCATATACAGTAAGGGGAGGTCTGTATTTTAGTATACTACACTGTATTTCAGTAGCATGTACATAGATTGTGTAAACTTCTCTTCCTGTGATGAGGAGGAAAAGCTGGACAGTGTAACAGTTAAGGTTTATTCTGAGGTGGTGGGTATTTTGCCGACTGGTTTTGTTTGGCCGATTACCGACCGTTATAATCCATACTGCATTTGGACGCATTACACGCTAATGAGGTAAAGCTGAAATCTTCTCAGTCTCCAATTACAAGTACTCGGGTACTGAACTTAGTAGGGGTGCACATGCATATAAATTAGCCACAAATATTCAGCTCAATCTCAAGACATTTTGACTGATCAAATAAAATACACAATGTTCATTTGAATCGAAGGCCGCTTATATGTAAAAAGTACTGTTTGAAAAGCATACTATATGTAGCTACTGTACCATGCAATCAATAAATATTTGTACTTCAGAGGAAACATTGTCATTGAGCTTCTCTTTTAGCAAATACTCTCTCAAGTGACCGAACCTCGATAGGAAGTCTATAGCGTTTACAATTACTACATACGAAAAGATGTTTTATACAGTACATTTCTATAAGCCGAAACCGTAGCTATATTAGTAAATACCGTACATTTATTTCCAAAAGAAACACAAAGTGAAGGAGCTGTATAAAGTATATAAGCTTTTTTCTGCATGCGTGCAATTTTACGTCCGTACGTTTTTTAGCCTGTCACGTAAAAATTTACTCTGTCTAACGCCATGCAGTTCAACAAGCCTATCTGCCCATGTTTCTTGTTAACCCATCAGTGGGCAATGCGCACAAATGCGGCCTACTTTACTATTTACTCTGTCTAACGCCAGATAATTTTACTTGTCATTGGTAGAGTACTGGTGGTTAATGAGTTAACAAACCTCTCTGCCCATGCCTCTTGTTAATATTGCTTATTAATTTACCGATTGTTTTAAACTCGTTAACTGGCAATGCACCCAAATGCGCCCTACGTTGGTATTTACTGTCTCTTGTAATCAGGTACTGTACATTACACAGTACACAAAGTATTTTATAATATGTATTTCCAGAGAATTATCAGGAAGGTGTACAACACTTTAATACAGAAAGATGATTTTGTAGGATTCAACTTAACAGAGAGGTACGTACGTACATTATAAATATTGTACTATTTCCTTTGGCCTATTAACACAGTTTGAGTTAAATTATTTTTATATCCACATGTACAGTGTTAAAGTTCGGTTGTGAATTCTTTATGAAAAAGTGTAATTGTATTGTAGTATTCCAATTAGTCTTTTCGAATCGAGCAGGGTACTGAGTCTAGTTGCAAACCACGGACAAGGCTCCAAACAATCCACAGATGCTTTGAGGCTTGCGACTAAACCCATTACCCTGCTCGATTGGGGAAAAAGCTATAGAGAGACTGAGAACGATATATAAATGTTACATAAAGTATTTATGTTGCTCTTAGTTCCGTACTGTATCATTCCTGGATTCCTGTCTAGGAAAACGCGATTCATAGCCATAGCCATAAATTTTATCATTTATAGGCCTATATCTGTACTGTGAAGGCCCGTATGTATATATATATATATATATATATATATATATATATATATATATATATATATATATATATATATATATATATATATATATATATATATATATATATATATATAATATAATATATATATATATATATATATATATATATATATATATATATATATATATATATATAATATATAATATATATATATATATATATATATATATATATATATATATATATATATATATATATATATATATATATATATATATATATATATATATATATATATAATACTATTTCAGTTACCAAAGCCAGCATAAAAGACACATCTACAGTATAATCATTTCTCTATAATTTAATCAACGCCAGATGCCACGAAGATTGAAAACTGATTACATTTGCCAAAGTCTGTATCTGCATGTTATAAGTACAGTACGGTACATGTATTGATTTTGTTAATTTTGATATTTTTATTTGTAGTTTCAATTCTGAGAGTAACAAGGCAATCTTGGACGCGGTGCTAACAGAAGTTTATGCGCAATTCCATGGGATGGACAAAACACCATGGTCAAGACTTGCTATTGAAGGTACTGTACATGCAGTGTAGCTTATAATCATTATAATGATTAATGATAGACAATAAAACTATCAAAGGATGAACGTGGCTAAGCGCTAATGACAATGTTGCTGATGTGACATCCGTGATTTCGCTTGGTACGCATTACAGTACTTTCGAACCCTGTAACGTCAGGACCTTGCATTACCGTAACATATTTTGAACAAGAACAGCAATGTCTATGCAACTATCGACTTTCTAAACTTTTGGGGGGTACTATATACAGTATAACAAAGGTAAAAACCACAATTGAATGCTTGCGTTATTTTTCACTACAGCGGAAATATCGCCATTTTTGTTATTGAAAAACTTTTACGAAAACATTAAATTGTGATTATTGGCCTTGCTAGCCCGCCGGAAAGGTTTGAAAAGTCAATAGTTTCATTGCCATTTCTGAAATGACACATATTCTCATACAGGCGACCAAAAAATCTATTTGTGCGGACAATGGCAATGCAATAGTATATATTTTTACTTGTTTACCAAATTCTACTTTAGATATACAGTATATGCCAATGCTGGTTAAGCTATTGAATCTAAAATACACACATAATTTTTCGTTTGTTTACACGTAGTCTCAGAATGTTAATTACCAAATGGTCATGACTATCACTCGATATTTACAATTAGAAAATATTCCATTCACTTACCAAGAACTAACACGATTATGCCCGTACGTTCCATCTAAAAATAATTTATTTACATATCCCTGTTATATTCTTATAGCTTTCAAATGTATATTCTTCAAACCATACCTCGTCAGTGTATGCTAACTATTTCATGTTCGAATAAACAGAATATTACACGGTGGCTTGAATATATGACTTTTATCTTCTCGTATTAAAAACAATATTTTACTCACTCGCTGCGCTCGTTCGTAAAATATTGTTTTCACCACTTGAAGATAAAAGTCATATCTTCGCGCCACAGTGTAATATCCTCTATATATGTTATAAATCTCGTATTTTTTCCTGGTTTCACAGCTGCATTGAAGAGGTATTTTGTCTCGAAGTATGAGGTGATGAAGCACAAAGTCGACGGCAAATACGAACAACACAAGCGGAACTGCAGAAGGCAAGGACGAAAAAGAGATGTAAGTACTCATTAAACTGGTGAAATTTGTAATAACAAATGGCGATCTTTTTTGTATACTTTTTTAATTAACTTCGGGGCTTTTTTGTAGAAGCTGACAAGACGAACTCTGGCGATGGAGAAGGCTGACATCAGTACTAGAAAAAGAGGGAAAGTTGCGGAAGTATTGGTCGAGGAAGCGATGTCTAGTGAAGAAAGCTGCGTGGAGGAGGACGAAAGTGGAAAAACAAAGATTGTTGGATATAAAATAAAACGACTGTCGTGGGAGAGCCGGAAGTTGAGGAAAGTTAAAGTGTTTTTAGACAAGACCATGAGAGAAAGTCAAACTCAAAGGGCACGGGATAGAGCTCTCCCACGAACACACCACGAACAGGAATCGTCAAGGTTGCCCCTTAAGGATTTCCCAGACTGGGCAATTCAGTCCTCGGAATGAGACTTCTGCTAGTAGTCAGACAGATATATAGAAGGGAAAAACTCACCATATTGAGGGGAAATTCCATTTTTCCTTCACCTTGTGCCTTGCAGGCTAATAAGTATATTTATGTATGTCGCCGCGGCGTTAAAATATCTTGTAGGCTCTTGCCGACATGTTTTTTCTTCGAATTTTGTATTAAACTCTTACTACTACAGTTTAAAAATGTGAAATTTCAGATACATTTCTAATACAAATGACTTGCATCAATAGCAAGCTTACAAAAAACTACATATAAGACATTTAAATGGTTAGCTGGGATTTTCACGTGGATTTCGAGTTATATTGTTGCTGTTCCAAATGTGGAAAATAAGTCAAAATTTCGCAAAAATCCTGGGTACTAGTCTGAGAACACGCTGTCAGCAGCTCATAACTGAAGAGGAACTTGAAAACCCCTGGTAACCGTTTAAATGTCTTATATGCATGTAGTTTTTGCATGCTTTTAAATTATGTAAGTCATGCATGTTTATTAGAAATGTATTTGAAATTTCGTGTCGACAGGAGCCCACAAGAAATTTTAACGCCGGCGACAAACAGAAACTAGCCTTCAGGGCACAATATGAACACAAAATGGAATTGCCGCTCCATATGGTACGTTTTCCATAATTTTTGTTCCTCTATCTGCCTGACTATACTGTAGTTATAATTGTAACGCAGAATAATAATGGTTATATGTAATATAAATGAAAATATACATGCACTAATGAATAATTTCCATTTTATTTTATAATTGTTGAATGTTGTATTATACAACATATATAACAATGTATAGTTATCGCTTGTGCACGGAATGGTATATTAAACTGATTAAAACCTTTTTACACACTCTATGACTATATAAAATTATATTGTTTTGTAGCTAACGTTACAGCTCTAATATACACATGCAGGCATGGAATAGAATAAAAAATTGGGTAGCTGGGAGGGCTTCTTATAGCTCTTTGTATAATTAACTTTGTCTGGGTTCATCAATATTTAAATAACAATTGTTCCGAATATTAGGCCGGTATATACAACGGCTAATATTAATTTACATATTCCACAGTATATTTAGTAATTTAACAAGATGTCCAATATAGACTTATTTGCGATGCCTAAGGGATGGTGTTTTAGGAATAGATCATTTTTACATTTTCCTTTTTGGGAATACAAGTTTTTTTAGCAAAATGATAGGAAGCCTATATCTCTAAGTTCAATGACTTTTTATGTGCGTGCAACCTGAAGTGCCAATCTTTCGGTTAAAAAAGATAAGACCTTAAAGCCTTATTAAAGACAGAGAGTTGTTTTAATGTACCTTTCAGATTGCTTTAAGGAGGCCTAAACATGCCTTTTCAAACATTTTAAGTAAGACCTTAAAGCCTTCTTAATGACAGAGTTGTTTTAATGTACCTTTAAGATCGCTTTAAGGAAGCCTAAAGATGCATTTTCAAACATTTAAATTTGAACATTAAAGCTCCAGTAAAGTTTCATTTAATGAACTTTAAGAAACATTTCAGAGAGACCTGAAATGCGTCAATACTTTGCTTTAAGTGCAGAATTAAATTCTCATTAAAAGTTCATTCTATAACTTTAATGATGTCATAAAAGACACCTGAAATGTTCCAATTGTAAAACTTTAAGGTTGATTTCAGTTCACTTAAATCTCAAATTTCGTCCTGTGAAAACTAATGTTGTTTTAATTCAAATTTGTCGCAGCAAATTGAAATTTTAAGCCGGAACATGTGCTCAAAATTCAAGAATGAAGATAGCAAATATTTCCTTTCAAAAATGCTCTATTATATGTAAAACATAACAAAATTCTTACCTGAATGTTACCCAGTCATCCCTAATCTTTTATCTTCAAAATAAATAACACTTTCGCTCAATAAAAGCTCTGTATTTGAGCCATTTCGAGCGGAAAGTTTAAACTAAAAATATTTTAAAATATGGCGGTGCGAATTGTGACGCTATCCCAGAAAGCTTTACGCGTTGTAAGAAAATTAGGCACCAGTCCGTCAAACCGCGCTCGTCGTGAGAATTTTTGGTGGTACTCATGGTGTTTTGTCAAAAATGCTGTTTTGTCAAGAGACAAAATACCTACCTCCACAAAGTCCACAAAGACTATAAATATTTTTGTAAATATAATTTCAATGAACTGACGAAAAATTTAAAATTAATTAACTCAAACTGGAAAATTTTGACCAGTTAAATAAATACATTTACCCTTTCTAAATTCTCACAACTTTCTATTTGAATAGGAAATAAATAGCTTTTAAGATCTAATTATTTTGCTATTTACTAGCTATTTTAACAATAGCTCTAAAAATAAAAGTAAACATAGTTTAAAAATAGCTATTTAATAGCCATTTTAAACAAAAATTCGCCACAACTTTCTATGAATAGGAATTAAATAGCTATTTAAGATCTATTTATTTTGCTATTTAATAACTATTCTAAGAATGGCTCAAAAAATTCAAAAAATAAAAGCAAACATAGTTTAAAAATAGTTATTTAATAGCTATTTGGAACAAAGTTCGCCACAACTTTCTATGAATAGGAATTAAATATTTTCCTATTTAATAACTATTTTAACAATACTCAATAATATCTCCAAAAATAAAAGCAAACATAGAAATCTTAAAGTCAGACCTAGATTTGTACGTTTGTGGTACATACATACCACCTGAAAAATCAAAATACTTCGAAAATGAAATATTTGAAGAACTCGAAAATGACATAATCCTTTTCTCATCAAGAGGAAATGTACTTCTTCTTGGTGATCTAAATGCTAGAAGAAGCAAACTTGAAGATTTTGTTTCAAGTGATGGAAGTGATCACATTCAAGACACTAGTGATAACTCCTTCCAACCTCCAGAAAGACAAAACTTTGACTCCACAATAAACAATCTTGGCAAAAAAATAATTGAAATTTGTAAAAGTACTGACATGAGAATTCTTAATGGTCGGATCAATGGTGACTCTTTGGGAAGACCTACTTTTCACGGCAATAACGGAACCAGCGTAGTTGATTATGTCATATGTAACCAACACTTAATACCAAAAGTTAAACACCTAGTTGTTAAATCACCTAACTACCTATCTGACCATAGCCAAGTTATAACCTGGATTAACTTATACAAAAACACTAACACTGATAATATTAAAACCTCACAACCCCCGATATCAAAACTACCTCTACAATATATTTGGAACAATGAGTCAAGCAAAAATTTTAAGAAAGCTCTAAAATCAGAGGAACTACAAGAAAAATTAAGTTCATTCCTTGATAATGACTTCTCTTCTGACAGAGAAAGTATCAACAAATGCGTCAATGAATTTCAAAACATCATTGATCTTGCGTCTAAAAAATCTCTTAAAATTGAAAAGAAGAAATTTAGACGAAAGATTAATAATGTTGCAAACAAAAAATGGTTTGACAAAGAGTGTAGATTTAAAGACACCAGCTTAGAAAACTAGCTAATCAGAAACATAGAGATTCAAATAATACTGAAATTAGAAACGCATACCATAGCACTTTGAAAGACTATAAAAATATTTTAGAAATGAAAAAGAAAAATTTCCATTTCAATAAAATTCAAGAACTTGAAAATGCTAGCAATAATCCTCTCTTATTTTGGAAAACGCTCAAAAATAGTAGTGATGAGCTTAACTCTAATGAAAACAAGAAAATGCCACAACCAAATGAGTGGTTGAATCATTTTGAAACACTTCATTCTGAACACCACCTAAACAAAGAACAGAACGAAATCATTGATTGTCTAAAAAACTACGAAAAAATCAAAGACAACTTGACTGAACTTGATGGCATCATCACAGAAGAAGAATTGAGAAAAGCAGCTAAAAACCTAAAGCCCAAAAAAGCTGCTTATAATGACAAAATCAGAAATGAAATGATTATATCTAGTATTGAAACTCTCTCGAAATGTTTTATGAAAGTTTTCAACAACGTTTTAACATCGGGGAAGTTTCCTGAATCATGGACCGAAGGTTTAATAACCCCGATCCATAAATCGGGAAACTCCCTTGA